CCACCTGGGTGCCCCCATTTCCATTTTTAAAATGGGGAACCTGAGGCAAGAGGAATTACACTTTCTTTAAAAATTGTTTTTCTTTTATTTATTTTACAAAACTTTTATTTATCTATTTATTTGTAAGATAGAGTGTGAAGAGGGAGGAGCGGAGGGAGAGAGACAGGGAGACTCTGAGTTGAGTGCAGAGTTCCAGGCTGGGGCTCTCTCAGAACCCTGAGATCAGGACCTGAGCTGAAATCAAGAGTCAGTCACTTAATGGACTGAGCCACCCAGGCACACCAAGGGATTGAATTTTCTAAAGTGAAATAACTGGGGGGCACCTGGGTGACTCAGTGGGTTAAAGCCTCTGCCTTCTGCTCAGGTCATGATCCCAGGGTCCTGGGATTGAGCCCTGCATCGGGCTCTCTGCTCAGCTGGGAGCCTGCTTCCCCTACCCCTCTCTCTCTCTGCCTGCCTCTCTGCCTACTTGTGATCTCTCTGTCAAATAAATAAATAAAATCTTTAAAAAAAAATAAAGTGAAATGACTGGATTCACATCCAGGTGATTTGGTTCTAGAGTCCATGTTCTTGACCTCCACTTTTCTCTCAACAATGTGCTGGAATTGAGCCCATGTCAGCATGTGAATAGACTGCCCAAGACCCACTTACTTATCTTTTCACTGGGGCATTCTTAATAGAATGGCACTAAGATCCTACTGAGAGAGGAAGTGTATCTGGTATGTAGCACCTTACTGTAGGGCTGTGGTAAGGACTGTGAAGTACTTGGTGTGTGGGCATCTGACCTTGGCTTCTGACCCATTTTTAACAAAAGTAATGCAATTGGGAAAAACCTTCATGAACCGGCTTCTTAAGCATCAATAGGCTGGAATGCTCACTGCAAATAGTACACACAAATTGTTGTTTGGGTGTCCCAGATGTCAAATTCTGCACTGTGTGTTTTCAGTGTTTAACTTTCCACTCTAAAATGCCAACATAAACATCATTTACATTATTTCCATATTTGGGGATTGAAGTATTTTCTTTGTGGAAACTAGGCCCCTGAAATACCACTCAAGACTTGAATAACAAGAATAAGAAAGAAAAATAATTTTTTAAAAAAGATTTTATTTGTGTATGTGACCTTGTGACAGAGATCACAAGTAAGCAGAGAGGCAGGGAGAGAGAGAGGGGAAGCAGGCTCCCTGCTGAGCAGAGAGCCAGATGCAGGGCTTGATCCCAGGACCCTGAGATCATGACCTGAGCTAAAGGCAAAGTTTTAACCCACAGAGCCACCCAGGCACCCTGAAACAAAAATAATTTTTTTTAAGGTTTACTTATTTATTTGACAGACAGAGATCACAAGTAGGCAGAGAGGCAGGCAGAGAGAGAGAGAGAGAAAGGAGGAAGCAGGCTCCCTGCTGAGCAGAAAGCCAGATGCAGGGCTCCATCCCAGGACCCTGAGACCATGACCTGAGCTGAAGGCAGAGGCTTTAACCCACTGAGCCACCCAGGCGCCCCGACCCAAGTAATTTTCATTAGATATATTTAGTTTTAGTCAAAATGGCTTTAGATCAGCCAGAAGTAGTTTTGTAGGTGTAACCTCTTTGAACTCAACTCTTTCATTCTGAACTAAAATGAACCATTCAGGGGGCACTTGGGTGGCTCAGTTGGTTGAGCATCTGCCTTCAGCTCAAGTTGTGATCCCAGAGTCCTGGGATCGAGTCCCATATTGGGCTCCTTGCTCAGCGGAGAGCCTGCTTCTCCCTCTCCCTCTGCCTTCCACTTGCGCTTGCTCTCTCTCTCTCTCTATGCTCTATCTCTCTCAAATAAATAAATAAATAAATACTTTAAAAAAAAAAGAACCATTCAGATTTTTTTTTTTTAAACAAATATGAGTTTAGTAGCATGGACTGCAGTGTTTTATACAGATTTGAACCTGTTTTTAGGCTGGTCATAACTTCTTTTGCAATAGTCAGGTCAATTTAAAATGAAAATGTTTTAAATCAGCCAAAAAAGATCAGAATTACTTTGAATGTGGTCTGTGTTGACTCAGCAAATGACTCTGAGACAGTCAGAATTCCTTTATGCTAGAAATGTGTTTTGAGCTACTCAGAGATAATTTCAGAGATTGTGCTAGGTCTTCAGGGCCAGTCTGGTCCGTCCAGAATGGGGTAAAGAGGGTGAGCTAACATTTACTGAGTGTCCAGCATATGCCAAACACTGTGTTGGGTGCTTCACAAAGTATCTTGTTTAATCTTTAGAACAATGGTGTGAAGGAGTGTATAGTATCTTCTTTTTCATAGGATGGAAACCTGAATCCAAGACTCAGAGACATCTGAGGTATGCGGGAAACATGGAATTTAGCCCAGGTCAACTTGACTTTGGAGGTCATGTGTTTCCTAGTAGGCTACCTTGTATGATATAATACCTGGTCACCTTTAAACCCAACATGCATTTGTGGAAGTGTGAGTAACAGACAATAAGCTTGGAGGTAGACAGGACATTGAACCTGGAGTTAAGGGATTTGTATTCTAGACTGTGCAAATGAGTTAACCTCTATGGGTTCTATTTCATCCTTTGGAAAACTGAACCCAGAAAATGAGGGGTCTAGACATTTATTTTCAGATTAACGAGGCAGATTGCCTAGAGGTGTGATCTGAAGAGTGCAAACTATGATTAATATTGATGGTGATATTTATATACCTTCAGCAGTGGTATTGGTTTGTTATGATTGTTATGTTTGTTTATGATGTCTTGATTTGGGAACAATTGATTTGGGAACTGTTATGTATTGCTATCAATATGAATAGAAAATCCCACAAAGAAAATTTTAAGATTTATATGTGTGATTCTTCTCCCATGATAACTAAACACAGTAAATTTTGGTGCAGCCAATATAGTTTGATCTGTCTTTGAATTCCATTCAAGTAGATTTAGAGAGTTCTAGAAAAGTGATGCCATTGGTGACAGCATTTTCTCCTACACCTTAAATGATATAAAAACACAGATGTAGGAATGACCACCCTTAGTTCAAATTAAAAAGTAAAGAGGAAGTAAGGTAACCACAGTGTTGTCTTGTATCATTCTCATTGCAGAATTTGGAGTTGCTTTCTGCTTCTTCATTTATTTTTAGAGGAACCTCCAAAATGATTAAACATTATCTGGACCTGCTTTTTAGTTCTTAGCTCTAATTAATGAATAACTTGAAGCTAAATGAGATCCTATGATATGATGGGCTAGAATATTTATTGTACCCTGTTGGTCATCTTCTAGAGAGGAATTCTGTTATATACCATTAATACTGGCAACTTAAACCTGTGAATACAGAAGCTATAATATAGGGAAGCTAGTATCTGTGAAGTGTCATTCTTTACAGTTTGCAAATAGAATTATGAATATTTGTGGAGTCTCTGCCCTTATCAGCTGACTAGCCATATCTGAGTATTAGGTCCCAGATCTTTGCTGAGGCAGTATGAGGAAGTAAATTGCAGTGGCTCTTGGGGGTCAGTGTTCAGGAATTTTGAGCATAAGGTGAGTCACCAAGTTGAAGATGGGGTGGGAGGAGGAACCCTTGAAAATCAATAAATGTCCTTCCTTGAGCTTTTATTAATTTTGAGGATCTATAGAAATAATCCTATAGGAAGCATTGAGAATTGTAAAGTTTCTCAATGTGAGGCTGGGTGAAATTAGACATTGAGAGGAAAATCAGTAGTATCTAATGTAGGGCATCTAATGTGTAGGGGTGATGATGGGATGGGTGAACATGCATGTTTGAATGACATGTGGAGTTGTCAGTGGTGGTGGGATAGCTGACTATTTCCCTGATTTTTCTGGAGGGTTTATTGGTATTAGAAATGTAAGCATAAAAAGAAGTAAGCCTTCCCTGGAGATAGACTACATTTTCAGCTGGACTGATACTTTGAGTAGTTGGAATCTATTTAGAGAATAAAAACAAGTCATGAAAAGTGTTCATTGAAAAAAGATAAAAATTACCATGGTTATTAGGTCTTGTTGGTAAAAATAAGAATTTTTCTTCTCTAAGGCTGACTTTCATTTTAGTCAATATCTAAGACCTGAATTGGTAGCATTTCTTGTTTGAGTACCCAGGCAAGTATAGAGAGATGAGCACTTTGTAATGGAACTGTGATCTCTGGATAGTGACTGGCCAAATCCGGAACTTAGCTCCCAGGGAAGCAGTGGTATTCTGAAAAGTCTGACTTAATATGCAGTATATAATCATCATCATCATTATCAAAATAAGGAAGCTACAGGGGCACCTGGGTGGCTTAGTGGCTTAAGCCTCTGCCTTTGGCTCAGGTCATGATCTCAGGGTCCTGGGATGGAGCCCCACATCGGGCTCTCTGCTCAGAAGGGAGCCTGCTTCCTCCTCTCTCTCTCTGCCTACTTGTGATATCTCTCTCTGTCAAATGAATAGACAAAATCTTAAAAAAAAAATAAGGAAGCCACAGCCAAATTTTAATTGAGAATTTAGCATAGTCTTTGAAGGAACTACAATGACCTTTGAAAATAAATAGGATAAGTGAAATTGCCTAGATGTCCTGGTAAAAGAGAAAAACCAAGGATCTAGCACTAGGAGACTTTGAAAAAGAAAGGGGAATTGGAACCACTTGTACTCTAAGAATTATTATTATTCCTGTAACATTCTCCTTCCTTCTTTCTTTTTTAAAGTTGCAGATCTGTGTGATCTGCATGTAAAACTTAGTGCTGGTTACCTTCTTAATTTTTTTTCTGACTTGGAATTTTTGTCTTAATGGTACTATAATATGCACATTAAATTTAAATTAAACTGTTATTATTTTACTAACATCTCATCTAGCAAATTATTAGGTCCTTGGGGGCAGTGAATACTATCTAATTCTCTTCACAGAACCCTTCGGCATATGGGTGTCACACAATAATTATTGAACTGGGTATTAATATAATTCACCTTATTCACGGAAGATGCTAATATTTCTTAATGGCTTTTTAGGAAATATGCATTTGTTTATATTTTACAGGTGAACCACTGAGTTCTTCATTATGTCTGATGGCGACTACGATTACCTCATCAAGTTTTTGGCTTTGGGAGACTCTGGAGTAGGGAAGACCAGTGTACTTTACCAGTACACAGATGGTAAATTTAACTCCAAATTTATCACGACAGTGGGCATTGATTTCAGGGAAAAAAGAGTGGTAAGTTCTATATAAAAAATATAGAATCTCTGAATCAGCATTTGCCTGTCTGTCTAGTTTATTTTGTAGGAATTAGAAGGACAAAGTTTGGAATATAAAATTGAAGGGTGCATGTGAAAGTGTATTATGTTCAGTCTAGGAAATGTGATTTAAAAGGTTGTGCCGAAGGACCTTTATTATAAAACCAATGAGACGAATGTGAAGATTTCTTTCAATTTTCCCTTGATACCCTTTTGACATGCATGTTCCCTCAGAACACCTCAAAGTTATTTGTCTACATTTGTTATGAAGTCTACAAACCACCTTAGCATTCTGCTCCTGTTTTGTGGACTATTTCTTCTACCTTTGATGTCATTTTTAATAGCCTTTGTCTTAATTCAATCCCACATGGAACACTAAGTGGCAGACTGATCACTCCTGCCAGGAAGGTGAGGTTGGCATGGGAGTGAGAATGCCACTAGTGTATGTTGACCTGGGAAGTAACCAAGGGAATATGGAGGTTCTACTGGATGGTGAAGGAAGAGGCTCTTTTTTCTTTTCTTTAAGGGACCGTAGGGCTGAAAGTTACGCTGGTGGAGGGCAGGGGAGGAGGTCACTGTATCAGAGTTGCAGAGAGAAGATGGCCTTCATCATGAACTATATTTCTTGCTGAAAAACTGACTGTTACCATGAAGCAGGTCAACAAGTGGCCAAGAGACAAAGATCTTTCAGTGGATCATATTCTACCTGGAAAAGATAAACAGTCTCTGGCTTCTAGGGTAGAAGAATTCATTCCCTCTTACTTACTTGAGGTCTTTTCTTCCAGTGTCGGAGAAACTTACAAAGACTCAGACCCACTGAGTAAGAGTAGGATTTCATTAAATTTTTAGTATTGACATATAATTGCTAGAATCAGTATATATGTATGTAATTCTATTTATTCCCATTTTATAACCTTGTTTTTAAAAAATCACTTTCTCGACATATAATTAACATGACATAAAATTCACCCATTGAAAGTGTACAACATGTGGGTTTTAGTATATTCACAGTTGTGCCCGTTAGCAGTCATTCCCCATTTATCCTCTTGCTAGCCACTAATCTATTCTCCATGGATTTAGCTTTTCTGGACATATCCCATAAATGGAATCATACAATATGTGGCCTTTTCTGTCTGGCTTCTTTCACTTAGCATAATGTTTTCAAGGTTCATCCATGTTGTAGCATGTATCATAACTTCATTCTTTTGTATGACCGAATAATATTCCATTGTATCAATATGCCACATTTTGTTACCTATTCATCCATTGATAGGCGTTTGGGTTGTTTTACTTTTTTGGCTATAATGAATAATGCTTCCATTAACAGTCATATACATTTTTCGTGTAGAATTATGTTTTCAAGTCTCTTGGGTATATACCTAGGCGTGGAATTGATTTGCCATATGATAACTCTCTCTTTAACTTTGAGTAACTTCCAGATTTTTCTAAAGATGCTGCACCATTTTACGTTCTTACCAGCAACATAGGAGTTTTCCATTTTCACCATATCCTCACCAATTCTTGTTATTGTCTATTTGATTATAGCCATTCTGGTGAGTGTGAAGTGGTGTCTCATTATAAGTTTGACATAAATTACCCTGATGACAGATGTTTTTGAGCAATCATTTCTTTCATGTGCTTTATTAGCCATTTGTATATCATCTCTGGAGAAATGTCTATTCTGATTATTTGCTGGTTTTGAAATGGGTTGTATTTTTATTCCTTACTTTAAAGAGTTTTAAAAATATATTCTGGATAAATGTTCTATATATGGACAAATATATATTTATGGATATATATATATATGGATAAATATATTCTGGATAAATTATATATATATATGATATATACATAATTATAGCCCTTAAGTTTAGGTCTATGATCCATTTGGGGTTAATTTTTATATATGGTGTGAAGGGGGTCCAACTTTTTTTTTTTTTTTTTTGCATAAGGGTATCCAGTTGTACCAGCAGCATTTATTGCAAAGACTATGCTTTCCCCCATGAACGCTCTTGATGCTGTTGTTGAAAATCAGTTGACCATAAATATAAGTGTTTATTTTTGGACCCTCAATTCTGTTCCATTCATCTAGATGTTTATCCTTAAGCCAGTACTTACCTTGATTGCTTCTGCTTTATACTAAGTTTTGAAATCAGGAAGCATGAGTCCTCCCTCCCACTTTGTTCTTCTTTTTCAGGATTGTTTTGGATTCCTAGCAATTCCATTTGATCTTTAGGTTCAGCTTATCAATTTCTATCAAGGAGCCAGCTGAGACTCTGATAGGGATTGCACTGAATCTGTAGATCAATTTGGGGAATATTAGTATCTTAACAATAGTACATCTTCTGACCCATGAACATGAGATAGTTTTGCCATTTATTTAGATCTTTAATTTCTTTCAACAATGTTTTATAGCTTTCAAAGTGTCAGTTTTATGCTTTTTTGTTCATTTTATTCTTAAGTATCTTATTTTTTATGCTACTGGAAATTGAATTGTTTTCTTAATTCTCTTTGAATTGTTATTGCCGGTGTATAGACATATACAATTTATTTTGTAAATTCATCTTATAGACTGAAACCTTGATGAACTTATTTATTAGTTTTAATTGTGTGTGTGTGTGAGTGTTTATTCCTTACAGATATATATGTATATATTCCTTATGGAATATAGATATTCCTTGTATATCTATATACAAGATCATGTCATCTTCTGTTTTACTACTTCTTTTCCAATCTGGAGATCTTTTTTTTCTTGCCTAATTACCCTGGCAAGAACCTCCAGTAAAAGTTGAATAGATCTGAGAGAGGACATCCTCATTTTGTTTGATTACAGGGAGAAAGCATTCAGATCTTCACCATTAAGTATAATGTAAGCTCTATGTTTTGCATAGATGCTGTTTTTCAAGTTGAGGACATTCTTTTTTTACTTTTGAGAGTTTTTATCTAAAAGGCATTAAATATTTTCAGAGGGCTTTTTTTTTTTCTGCATCTCTAGAGATGGTCATGTGGTTTTGTCCTCTGTTCTACCACAGTGTGTTGTATTGTCTTACTGTATTATGACTTTCTCTGCTTGACTTATTTCACTTAGCATAGTCTCCTCTATTCCCATCCATGTTGATGCAACTGTTGGGTATTCATCCTTTCTGATGACTGAGTAATATTCCATTGTGTATATGGACCACATCTTCTTTATCCATTCGTCTGTTGAAGGGCATCTCAGCTCTTTCCATAGTTTGGCTATTTGTGGACATTGCTTCTATGAACATTGGGGTGCATGTGGCCTTTCTTTTCAAAACATTTGTATCTTTGGGGTAAATACCCAGTAGTGTAATTGCTGGGTCACAAGGGTAGCTCTATTTTTAACTTTTTGAGGAACTGCCACACTGTTTTCCATAGTGGCTGTACCAATTTGCATTCCCACCAACAGTGTAAGAGGGTTCCCATTTCTCCACAACTTCTCCAACATTTGTTGTTTCTTGCCTTGTCAATTTTTGTCATTCTAACTGGTGTAAGGTAGTATCCCAATGTGGTTTTGATTTGAATTTCCCTGATGGCTAATGATGATGAACAATTTTTCCTATATGTTCCTAATGGAATGACCCTTTAATCATTACAAAATATCCTTCTTTGTCCCTATTGAGTTTTTGTCTTAAAGGTTTTTTGTTTGTTTGTTTGTTTATTGTTGTTGTTGTTTTTCTGGTATTACTGTAGCCTCTCCAGCTGTTTTTTAGTTACTGTTTGCATGGTATTTTACCCTCATCCTTTTATTTACAAACTCTATGTATCTTTGAATCTAAAGTATGTCTCTTGTAGACAGTAAATAGTTGGGTCATATTTTTAAATCCATTTTGCCAATTTCTGCCTTTTTTTTTTTTAAAGATTTTTTAAAATTTATTTGACAGATCACAAGTAGGCAGAGAGGCAGGCAGAGAGAGACAGGAGGAGGAGGCAGGCTACCTGCTGAGCAGAGAGCCCAACACGGGACTCGATCCCAGGACCCCGAGATCATGACCTGAGCCGAAGGCAGAGGCCTCAACCACTGAGCCACCCAGGCGCCCCAATTTCTGCCTTTTATTTGGAGTATTTAATTCATTTATATTTATTTTTTAAGATTTTATTTATTTATTTGACAGAGAGATCACAAGTAGGCAGAGAGACAAACAGAGCGGGGAAGCAGGCTCCCTACTGAGCAGAGAGCCTGATGCAGGGCTCGATTCCAGGACCCTGAGACCGTAACCTGAGCCAAAGGCAGAGGCTTACCCCACTGAGTCACCCAGGTGCCTCAGTTCATTATATTTAATATAATTAGTGATAAAAAGGATTTATGTTTACCATTTTGTACTTGTTTTCTTTGTGTCTTATTTTTTGTTCCTCTGTTTTTTCAGACTATTTTATTTTGTGTTAAATACTTTCTAGTATATCATTTTTATTTCCCTTGTCGTTATTTTTTACTATATAGTTGAGATTTTTTTAATAGTTCCCCTAGGGATTATAATTATAGTTTTAATTTTTAACAATCTAGTTTAGATTAATACCATCTTAATTTCTTTATTATCATGAAACTGTGTTTACATATGGCTTCACTTCCTACTGCTTCCTTTGCACTTATTGTCAAATTATATCTTGATATGTTATGTGTCTATCAACAGATTTATAATTATTCATGCAGTTGTATTTTAATCAGATGGAAGAAAAGAATTAAAAAATACTTTAAAGTATTTAATTTAAAATTTTAAAAATATTAAAAATACTTTAAATTGAATCAAAAAATAAATTATACTTTCTTTTATATTTATCTATGTAGTTATCTTTCTGGTGCTCTTCATTTTTTATGGATTTGACTTACTGCACAGTGTCCTTTTATCTCAGCCTGAAGCACTGTATTTATTATTCCTTATACAGCAAATATGCTGGTGATGAATTTTTTATTTTTGTTTATCTGGGGGTGTCTTACTTTCTCTTTCAATTTTAAACAATAACCAATTCTTGGTTGATAGTCTTTTTTCTTTCAGCACTTTGATTATGTCATCCTACTGCCTTTTGGCTTTTATTGGTTTTAATAACAAATCAGCTGTTAGTCTTATTAGATCCTTTGTGTGTGATGAGTCATTTTTTATTTGCTGCTTTTAAGATTCTCATTTGTCTTCAAATTTTGACAGCTTGATGAGGTGTCTAGTCAATCTCTATTAATTTATTGGAACCCTCTTGAATATGCAGATGAATGTTTTTCATCAAATTTTGGAGGTTTTTGGCTATTATGTCTGCAAATTTTTTTCTGCTTCTGTCTGTCTTCTTTTTTAGGATTGCCAGTATGTATATGTTGGTATGTTTGATGGTTCCATAGGTTTCTGAGACTCTGTTCATTTTCCTTTACTCTTTTTCCATCTGTGCCATGGCCTGGATAACCTCAACTGACCTGTCTTCAAATTCAGTGGTTATTTCTTCTGCCAGTTCAAGTGTGCTATTGAACCTCTCTAGTGAATATTGCACTTCAGTTATTGTACTTTTTAACTCCAGAATTTCTATTTACTTTTTATATTATCTGTCTCTGTTAATATTCTCTATTCAGTGAGGCATTATTCTTTAATTCTTTAAAAATTTTATTCACTTATTTTAGAGAGACAGAGAATAAGAAAGGACAGGCAGGGGAGCGGCAAAGGGAGAGGGAAAAGCAGGCTCTTCACTGAGCAGGGAGTCTGATGCAGGGCTTGATCCCAGGACCATTGGATAATGACCTGAGCTGAAGGCAGATGCTTAACCGACTGAGCCGCCCAGGAGCCCTTATACTTTAATTCTTTAGACATGATTTCCTTTAGTTCTCTGAACATTTTTATAATAAATGATTTAAAATCTTTGTCTAGTGAGTTCAACATCTGGCCTTCCTTAAGGATGGTTTCTCTTGACTTCTTTTCCCCTGCTGTGTATGAGCCATACTCTCCTGTTTCTTTTTGTGTCTCATAAACTTTGTTGAAAGCTGGACATTTTAAATAATATAATCTGGCAACTCTGGAATCAGATTTCTTCCCTTTCCCAAGGAGGGGAAAGGGCAGAGGGAGAGGAAGAGAGATAATTTCAAGCAGACTCTGTGTTGAGCACAGAGCCTGACATGGGGCTCTATCTCACAACCCTGACATCATGACATGAGCTAAAATCAAGATTCAGACAATTAACTGACTAAGCCACCCAGGTGCCCCTGAGTAGACAGATTTCTTGAATCAGTAAGTCTTTCAGCTGTTTATGACACACTCTGTGTGTGTGTGTGTGTTCATTTTGGGACAGGTACTAATGCTCCTATGGATAGTTCACAACTCTGCCTTAACCTTCACTTCCTGCTTGAGAAGAGCCTCAAAGTTAACTAGAGATGTGATAATTGGGTCTTTTCAAGTCTTTCCCAGGCATATGTACAGCACTATGTATGAGACTGGCCTGGTACATTCCAAGGAATATTTTGGAACTTTTCAAATCTCCCCATGGACATCTCATTTCCCTATTTTTGTCTTCAAGTTTTTTGGTTAGGATTTTGTTAGCCCCAGTTGGTACTGCTGCCTTTGGTAGCTGTGATGTTAAATAATTGCTCCTGATTGTTTTCAACAAATGCCCTAAGGGTAAGGTTACTATAGAGCAAGCTCTGAGTTTAGCAAAGTCAAGTCAAGGCCTGGGAATGGAGCTTTACAGGCAACTTTCAGACGGTTCTCTGGAGATGAGACTTTGGGGAGCTTCAAACCTGTTTTGCTTCTACTCCCTTCAGTGATTACTATGCTGATTGTTTTCACAGCTACCATAATAGAGCATTTCTTGTTTTTCAAGGCTACTGAGGAGCTTGGGAGAGTGGTTTGGGAATAGGATAAATTAAAACAGCACAAAGTTTACTGTTTTTACTGATATTCAGCCATTTTTCTTGATTAGATGCTTCTTGAAACATTGTGAATCTTAATTTTCAGTGTTTGGAAAAAGTGAATTTTGACAGTTTTTGCCAGTGTTTCATTGCTTTTATGGAGGAAGAGATCATCAGAGGTCCTTCCTATAAAATTGCTTTAGAGTACTTTTTAAAGATGGGCTAGGGAAAAATACTAGTGACTTGAGGGAACTTTGAGGAAAAGTGAGCAGACTATTTTTTTATACAAATTATGTGTTATATATATTTAATAATATATTTATAAAAATATATAATGTGTATATTTATTTTAATGCAAATTATTGTATTATCCAAAGACAATTATTTGGACTAATATAAAAATAAGGTTGTGTTCCAGATGGAATTTTTTTAGAAGTCTAGATGCTTATGGGATCTTTACTGAATAGAAAAGTGAGAAGAATTAATTGTTTTCAGAAGTTTTCTTTTTCTCTTTCATTTTGCTATTTTAGGTGTACAGAGCCAATGGACCTGATGGAGCCATTGGCAGAGGCCAGAGAATCCATCTGCAATTATGGGACACAGCAGGGCAGGAGAGGTATGAGATCTTCAGTTATGTGTTCCTTACCAGAGGAAAGGGAAAACCAGCTATGCCCTTCACACCATACCTGAGCAGGAAAAGGCCAGCTGATTAGTTGACTTGGACCTAGATAAGACATGCTGCTAATTCAGCAGGAAATCTATCAGTCTGAAATGATAATGATGTCTATTTCATACAAGGTCAAAGGAAAAATGAATCCTTTTCCAGATAGACTATCTTACTTATACAGTTTCTACTTCTTCCATCTTTCTCCTGTCTCATCCTCCTTTCTCCTCCTCCTCATTCCTCCTCCTCCTTTGTTTTGCTTGTTCTTGTTCTTCTTGTTCTTCATGTTCTTGTTCTTTAAGATTTACACACTTTTCTCCATTTACCTTTGCTGTTTATGCAGCCACAAAGACGACTTCAGAATTACATGCATTATTCTTACCTGGTTGTTGAAACCTCACAGAAAATCTGATTAGAATTAACTCATATGGTCAGAAGTTGCTTGATCAAAATAAGTCACATGAAATCGATATAAAATTTCTTTTAGTTATAGCTACTGTTTTCTCTCATACTTTGAAGTATTGTGTTTTTTATTTTTTAAAAAATGATTTATTTATTTATTTGAGAGAGAGAAAATGTGCCAGGGTGGGGGAAGGGGAGGGTGTGAGGGAGAGAGAAACTTCAGCAGACTCCACACTGAGTGGGCTCAATCCACACTTGGGGCTCAATCTCAGGATCTTAAGATCATGACCTGAGTCAAAACCAAGAGTTAGACACATAACTGAGTGAGCCACCCAGGCACCCCTGAAGTGTTCTGTTTTTTAACTTTTTCTTATGGAAATCTTCAAAGATATATTGCAGAGGATAGTATAATAAAATCGTGTACATATTTCCCATTTTCAGTAGTCATCAATTTGTGGCCTATCTTATTTCACATATACCTCCATCCCTTCTTACCCAACCCACCAAATTATTTTGAAGCAAATTCCAAATATCAGATGTTTTCATTTATAACTACTTTGGTATGTATTCCTAAAAGATAAGGACTCTTTTTGTAAAAACATTGATTAGAAATATTGGAGAAAAAAGATTAGATGACAATTTCATATTAGTATTTTCTTCCCTGGAATCTCTGCCTGTCAGTTGCTGACTTTACATAAAAATAAAGTGGAAACTGACCTTTAGAGGGAGAGGAGAGATGGCAGGATAAAGCCTTGGAAGAGAGAGTACCGAGAAAGGATATGGACTGAGTCAATACTATTCCCATCTTAAAGCCAAAGAAATGGTTATGAGACTTATGAGACCTCTTTAGAGACTGAAATTAAAAGGTCATGGAACCCACTACAACATAAAGTCAAGCGGAACTTTCTCGGGATAAGGAAAACATACACAGCAAGAACCATTGCTTTAGGCCTATTTAACTAAGTAAATTCTTTTTTTTTTTTTTTTTTTAGATTTTATTTATTTATTTGACAGAGAGAGACACAGCGAGAGAGGGAACATAAGTGAGGGAGAGGGAGAGGGAGAAGCAGGCTTCCGGCTGAGCAGGGAGCCCAATGTGGGACTCCATGTGGGGCTCGATCCCAGGACGCTGGGATCATGACCTGGGCCAAAGGCAGACACCCAATGACTGAGCTACCCAGGTGCCCCTTAACTAAGTAAATTCTTAACTGAAACTATGGGATCATGAGCTAGTTCTTGTGATCCCTGTCTAGCAATCTGATTTTTCAAATCACATGGTCCATTAACACATAAACTTATGTAAGCAATAAATGTCTTACATACTTTTGGAATATCACCATCCAATTTATTTTTTTAATTTTTAAAAATCTACAGAGACCATTTTTATTTTATTTATTTTTATTTAACTCTGGTATAATTAATGTACAGTGTTATATTCGTCTTGGGTGTACAATAGAGTGACTTTGCATCTCCATACATTTCTCAGTGCTCATCGTAAGTGTCCTCTTAACCCCCTTTATATATTTCATCCTTTCCCCCTTCCCCTTCCCCCTCTGGTATCCATCAATTTGTTCTCTATAAGACTGAATTCCAAATACAACTTTGGTAATTGTTGGTGTTTTATGAAGTCTCAGTATATTTTCAAGTATTCTTTCTGACTTTAGATATCTATTTGGTATCATAATTTGCTAAATCCTGTGTAATAAAGAGATACAATTTGCATGTATAATGTGAAGTTATTAGAAACAATGGCATATTATCAAACACCTAATTTGTTATTGATGAATTATTGGAAGAGACTGAGGGCACTATTGGTAGTTTTATATATCAGGAGTGGGGTCATGATTTAGCTGACTAATCTGCTTTTATGTTCCTAGGTTTCGTAGCTTGACAACAGCCTTCTTCAGAGATGCTATGGGGTTTCTTCTGCTTTTTGATCTGACAAATGAGCAGAGTTTCCTCAATGTCAGAAACTGGATAAGTAAGTGCTATTGTTTCCATCTCCCACTCCCCACTTCCCACAATACAGTGCTTTCTTAAATTCCACTTCTCTTTTAAGTTGTTTTGGAGGACCTCCTAGTACTGTTAAAAATGCTGTTTAAAGGAGCAAGGGTTTTACTTTGCAGGAAAGATTACGGAGATACTCTGCTTTTCCTAGTAATACTAACTTTAATTTGTGGAGTAATTCTTATCCTGGAGGCACATGGTAGCACTTTGCATGTGGAAAACAGGGGATGCTCTTATCCCCATTTTATAGATAAGGAAACAGAAACCTGTAAAAGTTAAATCTCTGAGTATCTGCTTGCCTATTTTATGCTGTCAGAATTTATATCACCAGGGTATAATACATCTATTACATAGACATAAATATCTTTTGAAGACTTAGAAGATCATACCCCTGGCTCCATGTCTCTTCTTTACTCAGAGTTCCCTTTTCTCCTTTCAAGGCCAGGGAAGTTGCCAGAAGGATCTCATCATGGAAGACTCTAAAATTACATTGGCAAAAGTGGTCCCCAGTACTATACCCACACACAGAAACTCATGTGCACACAGACACGTATGGAAACACACACACACACACCCTCATCTTGGCTCTTTGCAGAGATCCTGATCTCCCAAATGGTTGGTTAACAGCCACTTAAAATCCTACCACTTGATCAAATAAATAACAGCTTGCAAATCTACATTTTTCTCCATCAGTTGTATTAGTGTAAACCCAGAGAATCTGTTGGGGAAGGCTGTGGTGTTAAATTCTTAACATCCAAATCCTTAAAATGAAAATACTGACTTAAAAATACCTATAATTTTAAAAATAACTTGGTGTTTTGGTATTACAATGGGATCATTGGCTGTGGTTTTGATAGCCTTTTGGTTTGATAACCTTATTTTTAAGAATGAGTTTTTAAATAAGTAATTTACATGGTGCATCGTGATTTTCAAAGCATTTTCACATACTTTGTACCTGATCCTCACAAGCACTGTGGGTGAAGAGTCAGACAGGAGATGTGTCTTTATTTTAGGATAAGGACTGTCATCGACCCATCTGTTTTCACAGATAAAAATGGAAACTCTGAGACAGATAAATCTTGCCTATCTGGACTTTTTAGCTGATTAGATAAATAACAAAATTATGTGAAATTATGTGTAATGTATACATTTTATTGTGTTATCCTTATAGTGTAAGAGAATTCTTATTGCACAATTAGGTAGAGAAAACTGACACATTTTGAGGATTTCATATCTTCAATGGAAAGTATTCTCCCCCAACCCGCCTTTGAAAAAAAAAAGTTAGTGTTGAGGATCAAAGATAATAATATCAAATCTTCATTAGGAATAATAATTTATTGTCTATCCATTTTATTTCCCCTTGCCTGTTAGCATTTTGAATATTATAGGGATTATTTATTTCTAACTTTTGGGGGGTGCATGCCAGAACAAAGGCACTGTTGCCTTAAACAGGTAGCTGGCTCCTGGCCCTGAGTGGCCTGGGGAGAGGAGAGCAGGTCTGCACCCTTCCTTTGCAGGCTGCCTTGGCAGTCCGTTCTCCCTTGACTCCAAAGCTGTCCATACCCCTTGGAAAGGGGATACATGCAAATCGAAAGGTGAGCCCTGCTGAATTCAGAAGACTGAACAGAGAGCTGAGTTCTCTCAGCCTGCCACATGGAAGGAATCAGGTAGTGTTGAATTCACCTACCTATCTTCCTAGAGCTCAGAGAATGAGCAAGTCATGCCCTTGGGTATTCCTCATTGAGTGGCAGCCTATTTTGTAAAGAAGTTTTAAAGTAGTCTGAATTTCTAAACATTGTTTCTGTAACCTCATGTGAATGGTATAAGAGCCCAACAGGTACATATTTTACATGTTTTTACCTGTGTATTTTTGTTCCTATTATTCTGCCCGTCTGAAAAGCGGTCCCCATACTCACTCCCTCCATAACCACCCCTTTTAAAAAACTGGTTGGAGTTCTGCTTATTCTTTAAAATATGGCAAATTATGGGCTCCATGAAATTTTCTGTAACTGTAGTTGGATTAAATTTTTTCCTTCCTGTCAACTGCTATTATATTTTGTACTACCTATAGGATTTTTAGAGGCTTTTAACCACTATGAGTTGTAGTAGTTATTTATGTATGTGTCTTTTTCTTAGTGGGGTTATTTAAAGAATTGATTAATATGCTTTTTATATAATTAATTCGGTCTTTGTAGAAAAATTAGGAAGGAAGAAATAAAAGGAAAAATCCCCAATAATTGCACTTCCTGGAGTCTCCAAAATAAACAAATGCTATTAAACATCATTACTGGTGATACTTCATAGCACTTCTAAATGCTTTCACATATTAATGTAGTAGTTCTCAAGTATGAGTACATCTAGATCACCCAGGGAGCTTGTTAAAACACAGATTCTGGCTCCATATCCAGCATTCCTGATTCAGTAGCCCTGGGGTGCTACCTGAGAATTTACATTTTGAACAAGTTCCCTGGGGATGGGAAGGTTCATGGACCATACCTGGAGAATCACTGAATTAACTCACTTAATCCACACCTTAACCCTGCAAAGTAAGTACCATCATTATTACCATTTACACACGAGGAAACGACTTCCTCAGGGTCACACAGCTAGTAAACAGTAGAGCCAGGATTCAGTCTAGGATACAGTCAGTCCTGAGTTCATGCTCATAATCATGACACTGGACATGTATGGGATCAATAGAGCACAGAGCCACTCTGGAGACCGGAAAGTTTCACCATGGAGGTAACTGAGAGGCAAGTCTTAAAAAGAAGGGTGGAAATTCATGGAAGGAAGGTGGTGGTTGGGTATTCAAGCACATTGTAACAGCATGTGTACCATCTTGGAGGAAAGTAAGCACATGGCCATTATTGGAAACATACACAGTTTGGTTTTGCGTATATAGGCCTTGTTCACCAGCTGTCTCTTGAGGGCAAAGGTCAGGGCCCTGAAATTCTGTACCAAGTATCTGGCCTATGTTAATGACCACTGAATTCTTGCTGACTAGATTTTCTCTTGATAAGATATAATGAACATGACTTTGTAATGAGGAACTAAAATGTCAACACTTTTCTGGTTAACTATGATAAATAAATTAGGCCATACCAACTTTGAGGTATGTCTTATTGTGAAAATTTGGGCTGCTTTAATCTCATTATGAATAAGATGAATAAGAAATAAAGCTTTCTTTTGCTTCTTTGGAGATTAAACTATTTAGCTTAATGAAGCTTTTTGTTTAATTGCTTTTTAAAAGTATGCCTATTTACACGTTTTCAGGTGAAAAGAAATAAAAGCTGTGGAATAAGAATTGCAGTCTTCTGCTTCCCCTTAGTTCTGGTGACAGAGTCATTTCCTGTTTATTCTAGAATGGTTTTCTCTCATTTAATCTTATATCTTTCTTATATTAATTGAATTGATTCTGCTTTAGGATAATAGAAAAATGTAAAAACATTTCAGATAGAAACAAGCTAGTTCATTCAAAAGAAGACAGTTCTTTTAAAAATATTGCTATGGGGAGACACCATATGAAAAATAGAGCTTTATGGTTAACAATAAGAACTAAAAATTCTCCCAAGTTTTTCTCAAATGGCCTTCAGTAAAAAGATAGCCACAAGGGTGTGCACACATTGTTGCTCACACGCACATGTGCACTATTAGAGGGTTAGCCCTTTCTCCCATTCCTCTCTGATTTAAATAAGATGGGATATGTGTTTAAGGATAAGTCCTACATCTCTGCCCTGTCCATTCCGTTCTGCAGATTAGGTTAGTGATGCTTTGAAAGCATTTCCTTATGTCCTTATGTCCGTATATCCACTTAAAATTGGATATATCCAAACGTTTTCAGAGCACATTTGTGTATATTCTCCATTGATCACACATATTATTTACCTATGATAATTTTTCATACAGGCCAGCTACAAATGCATGCATATTGTGAAAACCCAGATATAGTGTTATGTGGAAATAAGAGTGATCTGGAAGACCAGAGAGTAGTAAAAGAGGAGGAAGCAAGAGGACTTGCAGAGAAATATGGGTGAGTATTTTTGTGGAGGAATCTAGAGAAAACATTCCCAAATCAAACAGTAGCACATGAATGGATAACAGGAGATGCAAAAGCAAACAGTTGAAACAGCACACTTAGATGTAGGCTTTGGGAAGTATAATATCTACTTTACATATTAATATTATGTGATAATGGGAACCCAAAGAAAAACACTGTGTGAGGGCCATGCTTCAATACCATTTTCTCAATCTCTTGGTGTTCAAAGACACCTTTGAGGGCAAATGCCCTAACTATGTAAGGTTGCTTTCCCAAGATGCAAGTAGGAGATGCGTGGGGTAAGTAAATTCTCTCTATTTGGCAAGAAAATTTCGAAACCAGTTCATGTGCTGCTGTAGAGAGTCCCAGCATACAAGAAGGCCTATCAGCTTTGAAATTTCTGTGCTGGGAGAGGTGCATGAGCATGAAGATTCCCTTGGTTGTGTTTTTGTGGTGGAGAATCATCTAAATACTGTCTTCTTCCTTGAATTCTGGGAATAGGATCACAGTAGCATTAACTGGACATGAAAGAAGGGGGTAGCCACTGTTTATTAAAATGTCAAGGGCATCTCTGCAAAGGAATTTGTGCTTTGCTTTCTTTCTATCTCTAATACAATGAGAACCCAAGTGTGTATGTATTAATTACCCTTAATATAAATGGGAGGCAGTAAGTGGAGCTGAGAAGGAAGGGGAAGTAGAGAGAGAGAGATAGGGGATGTTACCCAGCTCCTGGCCCTGGTTTTTAGGCAGAATCCAAGGAAGCCAGAGGAGGATCTTTCTCTTTTTATTGTGTGACAATTGCTTTGTTCTTCTTTGGGCTGATGGAGGACCAAAGAACACTCAAGGATAGCTTTCACATTGGGAAGGGAGTAGAAGGATTAGGTTGGCCAGGTGGGAAGAAGTCAGTGTCTAGAGAGTTTAGAATACCAGGTAAGGAGAGTTGCTGAAATCCTGGGGAGCAGGGAGTTGCCGAAATCCTTTGAACATGGAGGGATGTGGTAAGTACTTCTCTAGATCAGTCTGGGAGAGGTGGGTGGGCTAATGTGAAGGGAGGAAATACTAGAGACAAGAAGATTGTGGTGATCTGCTAGATGGGTAGGAGCTGTATTTGTGGAAAAGAAAAAGGAATAAATTGGACAAAATAGGCAGGGGGGGTGCAGAACAGGATTTTAGATCTTTTTCAATTCTAGGGGTGGGCAAGACAGCCTGGGGTGGTGGGGCGTATCTATTCCCATCAATTATACTAGCTCGCTCTGGCATATAGTTGCAATAGGATGTGAAGGTTTTCACTCTAGCGTAGATGGTGCTTAACCATGTTAGAAGCCTGAGGAGCTTTTAACAAATGCTTGTGTCCAGGCCTCACCTCTGAGCTTCTGAGGTCATTGGTCTGGAGTGGTTTTTCAGGTAAGATTCAGTGGAAGAAACATACTTACCTATGAAGGCGTTTGTTACAGGTATTTGACCTTATGCACTTGTGGCAGCTGGTTAAGCCGTCTCTGAGGTGTTGACACTGAAATTGAAGTCCACAGGTCAGGCAGTCACGAAGGGAAGGCGGGTTTAAGGTGGGGAGAGCAAACACCAGCAAACACCACCTAAAGACCCATAATAACAGACTGAGACCTGCCTCAGGGTTTGTTGCCTCCGACCGGGAAGGTTTGGGTATCCCAGAGAAGCCAGGGACCTTTGTCACAGGGCTAAGCACATGCACCTGGCCGAGGAGTTGGAGAAACTGAAGGAGGGTCTTGGGGAAGGTGGAACAGGTCCAGGTCCAGGTCCTGGTTTATGCAACCACACAAGCCAGCAGCTGAGCAATGATGTATGCGAGCTACTGACTGGCTGCAGCGTCACCTCCACTCCCTCAGCTCCCCCGGATCTCTCCTGTGAGCCACCCTAACTGGAAAGGAACTTCTGGGAAATGTTCAACCGAACTGAGTTAACATGTTACAAAACCCTGCAGATGAGGGCCTGGGCATCGGTGTCTCGTAGAAACTCTCCGCATGATTGTCAGGTTAGAAGTGCCCGGGAGCTTTCAGCAAATACCTCCTGAGCTTTTTTTTTTTTTAATTTAATTTAATTTTATTTTATTTTTAAAGATTTTATTTATTTGACAGAGAGATCACAAGTAGGCAGAGAGGCAGGCAGAGAGAGAGAGAGGAGGAAGCAGGCTCCCCGCTGAGCAGAGAGCCCGATGCGGGGCTTGATCCCAGGACTCTGGGATCATGACCTGAGCCGAAGGCAGGGGCTTAACCCACTGAGCCACCCAGGCGCCCCCTCCTGAGCTTTTGACACAATCGGCCTGGAGTAGTGATTCTGAGGTGGAGGCTGGCAAAGCCCCACAGGCCATTCTGATATGCTCTTCTGCCCTTGAGAGGCACTCGGGTAGTGCAGTAGGAAGGAAAGAGGGAGGGCTAGATACCACGGAGAGTACTGATGTGTCGAAACTGGGAGCTGGGAACTATGTTGCAAGGGGGCAGGAGGAAGTAAGTGATGAAGCAATGGAAACTGTGGATGCAGACCATGCTTTTGAGAAGTATATTAGTGAGGCCAAAAGAAATAGGGCATCTAAGGGAGTTAGCTAGATCCAACAACTGTGTCCCCAAGTACCAGAGGGGAGCCAGGATGGACTGCTCCCCCCACCTGGTTTCTTCAGCCTTTTGTTTGTTTCTTCTCTTCTGGTTCTCAGGATTCTACTTCCTGCTTCATATCAAAGAGCCCAACTTTGCCTTCTGTCTGTAGGTGGAGTCTGGGCGGCCAGGGAGTGTCTTTCATCTGTCCCCAGCTCCCAAGGTCTGGGGAGTACTTCATAAGAGAGGTTCAATCTCAGGTTTCTGAATTCAGTTAAAATGAGAGAAGGCATTTCTATTGGCAAAGAAAGGAAAGAGAGAGAAACCGAATTTCCTTAGGAACTAGGAAGCACAGGGTGCCTGGGTGCTCAGTCATTAAGCGACTACCTTTGGCTTAGGTCATGATCCCAGGGTTCTGGGATCAAGTCCTACGTCAGGCTCCCTGCTCAGCAGGAAGCCTGCTTCTTCCTCTCCTACTCCCCCTGCTTGTATTCACTCTCTCACTGTCTCTCTCTTTGTCAAATAAATAAATAAAATCTTAAAAAAAAAAGATTAGGAAGCATAAAATATTGTTCTGCAGACACTTGGGTGGCTCAGTTGGTTAAGTGTTCTACTCTAGGTTTCAGCCCAGGTCATGATCTCAGGGTCGTGAAATCAAGCCCTGTGTTAGGCTCCTTGCTGGGCATGGAGCCTGCTTAAGATTCTAGCTCTCTCCCTCTACTTCCCCCACCACGTACAGGCATTTGCATGCCCTCTCTCTCTCAAATAAATAAATCTTTAAAAAATACTGTAAGCGGGGCACCTGGGTGGCTCAGTGGGTTAAAGCCTCTGCCTTCGGCTCAGGTCATGATCCCAGGATCCTGGGATCGAGCCCCGCATCGGGCTCTCTGCTCAGCAGGGAGCCTGTTTCCTCCTCTCTCTGCCTGCCTCTCTGCTTACTTGTGATCTCTGTCAAATAAATAAAATCTTTAAAAAATTAAAAAAAAAATACTGTAAGCTGTTTGATCATTTCAGAAGCAAAAAGAAACAGTTTAGTGCATATGCATTTCACAAACCTGACATGTAAGTTTAATGATTATTTTCACAGATTTTTCTCATTTTTAATCATAATATTTTCATTGATTGCACATGTACTAAAGGGCTGTGTTAGTCAGTTCATCTCCATGCTAGTAGTGGTAAAATAGAATATGGTTTATGGCGTCTCTTTGCATTATTTGTATATTGTCTGATAAATTTGCATTTTGTTACTATTGTGCACCTTTTCCTCTCCAGTACCTAAAAATGAATCATTGGTTCATAAGTGCTTCTCTTAAATATACATGCACTTGGAGAATGAAAGACAGTGTCTCAGAAAAACTTTGCAAACCTAATAAAGAACATGTTATAGTACAAATATGAAAAATAAATCTGTCTTTGACAACAAGGAAATCTGAGAATAAGACTTTCGTGCAGGAGCCAGAAATGGAAAGGGTGAATTACATGTATGATGAAGAATATCAGAAACTGTGTTTAGTAGACTAAGAATCCATTTACATCTAATTCCTTTTAATTTTCAGGTTTTTCTAGAACAAGGGCAAAATAATGCTTTCTAGTATGTTATATTGAGTAATATTGTCAATGAAGTCAGAGAAAGGAGCAAAACAGAAGTTTGCCCAAACTTGTACTCCTGCCAGTCAAAATGAGGATGGTCTACACTGTTACCAAAACACTTTTAAAAAATAGCTACAAAGTAAAACATGTTGGAAGGGCAAACAGAACCAGCATTGGCAACATTCCTCTTTGAGGTGATACTATTGGATCTCAAACCTTAGTGTGTTTCAAAATTGCCTGAACTCTGACTGCTAAGGAATTTCTGATTAGTGGCTCTGGGGTAGAACCCAGAAATTCGTTTCTAACTGATTCCCTCCTGCAGGTGGTTGAAGGTAGTGCTTTGAGAACCAATGGCATGCGTATCAAGTTACTACAGGTGTGCACGCTGGTGGATACTTTTGTTGATGGTATAATTGGATAAATCATTAGAGAATATGAAGCATTGTCTAATGTGCCTTGCATGGGTAAGGGAAATGTGCTTAATGACTCATCACTGGAAAATCCATGTTTGAGGAGGGAGGATACTTTTTCTCTCAGTTGATTAAATCAGCTGTAGTATAGACTGGAACTGGACACTGGGATGGTACTGAGGGTATGCCAGCCATAAGTGAGCAGGCAAGGACTTGGTGAGTTAAAAACGGCTGCATCTAAATGCCCTCTCAGTCTTCTTTTCTTACACAGGACAGTTGGTGGTCATTATAAGCCTTTCCATTTTTGATTCTGAGTTGAAGGACATACAGAAAATTGTGAATACAATGAAACCGTGATAATTGAATGTGTACATATTTCATGTGCTATACAAAGGAATGGGTAGAACATTTTTTAAAATTGAGAAATAAT